AAATTCAGCAAGCAGTCACGTAGTCGAAAAAGGCAGCTTTAACCTTTCTTAATGTTTTCATGTAATATAAATACATTTGAGTTCTTAAACAGTCAAATAGCGATATTTTTAAAGAAACAGGAACCTTTGAAATACACAGGTCACTGTTTTTGACAGCACAAATAGCATCCACGGCAGCGGAAAACTTTCATTTATGCAACTGAAAGATACGGTAAGATTTCGTGTGAAGTAAATTAAGAATGATGTTAAAGAAAATGCAACGAAAAAAGGTTAATTTAATTAGTGTTCCATCGGCAATTAGTTTTCGAAGAGAAATAAAAATATCTATACATCTATTTATTTTATATTTAGTCATCCACGCTACCGAGATTCTAAATATTAAAAAAAAAAGAAATGGAGGAAAAGATTAAACAAAAATTAAACGTGATTTCTGCCCATGTTATCCTGCTGAGAGAAAAGATGAGGTAGGATTTCAGTTCCGAATGGTACTTAATGGTGATGACTGATGGTTTTGTTTGGTTGCAGTATTAATTTTTTTTCTACAATAATTTTGTTGATGTTTAAGTTGCTACTATACATTTTAACTATTTTAATAAAATAAGATGAATTTAAGTTGCAAGATTTCAAAAATTAGTTGAAATAAAAGAACGAATGCTAAACAAGTCAAAATGAAGGTTGTCAGAGTGAGGTGAAAAAATTTCCAGATCTCTTTTGCCAAAGCTCAAATTTTAAGTTTTCTCAAGTCTTCAAACAAGTTTCCAAAATTTTGGTCCGTCATATAATTTATTGACGTTTATTCAAGTGTTGTATTAAAGGTTTGATTTCTTTAAAAGTACCAGTATTTTTTTTTTGTTAAATGGATTTTTCGTTTAGACTATGGTAAGAAAGATTTTTTTAATTTACAATTTTGACCAATGGTTACTTTCATGTTTTCTCGACCCATGATTATCCGAATATCCAGTAATCCGAACAGAGGCTAGTGGAACTCGATATCTCTTTAATCCGAACAAAAACTCTACAATTCTAACTGAAATTGAAAACATGCACCTACTTTTTTGAAATTTTTAAAAATTGTGATATTTCAATGCACTGAATTAATCACTAATTCTGGAAAAAAAATTAAAGTTATCGAAGAAATGAAACCGGAAGTGATTTCTGCGCCCCGAAATCTACAAGAATTTTTTTTTTTAATTTTGAAAATCGTCCAAAATGGGTAGAAATTTGTTAGGACTCGCCAAATAACCTATCTTCTAGGAAAATAAAAGGCGGGTGGGCCAGGCTAGTATTTGCTAAAATAAGACTCATTTTGGCAAATGACCTGCACTTCTAAGAAAAGGTACTGGCCCCGCCCACCCACCCTTTATTTTCTTTGAAGAGTGGGTCATCTGCCAAAATCAGTCTTATTTTAACAAGTACTAGTACCGCCCACCCACCCTTGTTTTCTTAGAGGATATGTCATTTGCAACAATTAGTCTCATACTTGCGAAGATAAGACTGATTTTGGCAGATGATCTATTCTTTATTTTCTTAGAAGAGTAAATGAGTCGTATTTTGGCAAATACTCGCCCGACCCACCCGCCTTTTATTTTCTTAGCGGGTAGGTTATTTGGCAAGTGCTAGCCCCACCCACCCGCCCTTTGTTTTCTTAAGAGAGTAGATCATTTGCCAAAATCAGTCTTATCGTACTACTAGATTTTTCAGTTTTTCGATTTTTCAATTTTAGAATTTTTCAGTTTCTCGCTTTTTAAATTTTCAATTTTTTGATTTGTCTTTCGATTTTTGATTTCTCTGGGCAACTGAAAAAAACTTTCAATTTTTAATTTTACAATTTTGGCAGTTTTCCGATTTCTCAATTATTTGATTTTTAAAAATATCGAGAAAATAGATGTTTATTTTTTTCAAGTTTCGATTTTGATTTTTTGTCACCGAGTTTTTGGAAGGGAGTAAAAAGTAATTTTAATCAGCGATTTGCCACGTTTACCGTAACTTTCTTAACTCACCATAACTTAAATTTATTCTTATAGTTAAAAAATCGAAAAATGACAAATCATGAAAAGGAAAAATTTTAACTTGAGATTTTGAAAAATTAAAAATCAAAAAATAAAAAAAATGTAAAATTACAACTTGAAAAATCAAAAGATTGGAATTAAAAACTGCAAAATTGTCAAACAAATTATCAAATGAAATATTCAAAAGTTGGAAAATCTAAACACTAAAAAAAATGCTAACCCCACCCATCCAGCCTTTATTTTCTTAGAAGAATAAGTCATCTGCCAAAATCAGTCTCATCTTGACAAGTACTAGCCCCGCCCACCCACCCTTTATTTTCTTAGAAGAGTGGGTCATCTGCCAAGATCAGTCTTATCTCGACAAGTACTAGTGTTTTATTACCGATTTAACAGTTACGAAATTTTACACATGCTCTAACGATATTATGTAGAGGGTAAAACACTAACTACACTTTGTCTAACCCTTTCCATTAAAAATTTAATCTCATGTTTGGACCACTTTCGAAAATTTTCTTGTAGATCTCGAGCCCCAGAAGTTATTTTCGGCTTCATTTCTTTGAAAATTGCTACTACTTTTTCAGAATCACCAATTGAAATATGGCCATTTTTTGCATTTTTTTAAATCGACTATTTCGAAAATTTTAGTCCAGAAACATAAACATGCTATCTTTTTCGATTTAGCAAGTCGAGATCTGTATTTTAGATTTCATTTTTAAGCAATCTTTCCAAAAGCTCATTTTTCAAAACGCCCAAATTATTTTTAATTTTTGTGATAATTTTTCGACCGCTTTCGAAAATTAGTTAAATATCCATTTTTTTTTTAATTCAACTCCTAGACTTCACTTTCGGCTTCATTTTTTTGAAAATTCTTTTTTTTGGCAAACTTTCCAAAAGCTTAATTTTTCAATAGATACTCCCCCAATGATGAAATTTTTATCATTTTTCAACAACCTTTGAAAATTAGCTAAAGGCATTTTTTGTACATTTCAATCGGTAATTATAATATGGCAATGTGTAGGATTAAAAAAAAATACTTTCAAAATGAAAATTTCGAAATTTTTATAAATCATGCAGATTTTTGGAAAAAGAAACGGATTTTTTCGTAGTTTTGGCAAACTAGCCGATTACTTAATTTGAGTTACAACTAAAATTTACGTATAGTATCCTCTAGAATTTCAATGACGTCATCCTAAAAATGCATTAAATAAATGTAAAAAAAATTTGGAAGCGCAGTGCTATTTTTAAAATATTATTCGTATAATTATATTTTAATGTTTCAGGGGTATTAAAAAATATATTTAAATATGCATATAACATAAAAACAAAAAAAATGCTTTTAGGGACAGATGGGATATATTTTTTTTTAGTATAATTTAATATAATCTTGCCCCTCAAGTTTTTTTTTTTTTTGAATTTTGTTAAAACAAGTTCTGAAACCATGCAACACACCATATTTACGTCATAGTGTTTTTTTGTGCTTTTTGAAAGATTTGTTAACCTTTTTCCACAGCCTCCTACCTGTCTTACGCGCTGACGTTTTAACAAATTTCTTATAATACTTAACTTAATCGTATTCTCAATCGAGCCAAACTTACACAAAAAGTGGTGTAGGTGTCTACAGTTTGCCAAAAACTAACTCACCGCCTTATTTTATATCAAAATCCTGTTTATTAAAGTTGTAATATATATTTCCCTGCCAAAATGAGCAAGATTTTTGTGAACCTACGATTAACCATGAACTTTTTATTGAAATTTTAATAAATGCAATTAAATATTTATATGCATCGCTTCAATATACATTTTATGACGCATAATTTGTGTATGAAATTTGAGAATTTGCTGACAGCTTGATAATTCTCACTTTTAGTGAATGAACTTGAGTTATTTTTAACTGTACCGTTAATTGCAGCTTCCTTAAGTACTACTAAATTATACATTTCTCAAAGGAAAAAACAGAAATTAATGATCAGCACCAAAAATTATTGCAGTATAACTTCCGAATTCACCGACAACTCAGATTCCCTGTTTTTTTCTTTTTTTTTGGTTGCAAGGTAAAACATTACAATTGTACAAAAACACTTGTTACATTTAAATAAATTTTCAGTTATTTTTTATTCTCAGATCAAGTTAAAAAAAAATCAGCATGAGATTTGTTGTCTTAAAAATTCTTAACCTCAAAAAATTATTTACTTAATTCCGTTAATTCACAATTAAAAACAAACTTGTTCAGAAGTAAGAAAATATATTTTAAACCAAAACTTAAATCAGTGACTAACACGTCCAAATATGTGGTTATGCAATGAATTATCTCACTGCAAATTTTTTAAATGTTATTTTTTGAAAAAAATAAGTGCATTTTTTAGGTCAGTGCGTCATCACTCATCACTACACATTACAGATTGACTTCGAACAGAGCAAATTTCAAAGTAACATAATACTTTAACTAATCTAGTGAGCAATAGATAAACCCAAAAAATCTTGTTTTATTTTATAAGTCACTTTACAAACTGATCACCAATCGATTTACTCACTAATTGGTTAGTTCAATATCGCAATGTCGTTGCTCTTAAATTTTTTGTTGTAATTTTAATCAGAAATCTAAACTATTATTTAGAGTAATAGGTAGGCGGTTCTCAACACAGACACTCAGTAATAAATTTTTTATAAAAACATATTGCCAAAACTGCACAATTAATTATTTTTCTTTCATTTTAATCATCACAGTTGTTAATATTCAATGAGTAAACACCGAAAATAAAACAGCGTAACATTATTAAAAACAATAACAATAAAAAACAACAAAACACTTTTTTTTGGATTTAATCTCGCCCGAATGTCACGCATAATTAGAATATATTCGCCTATCATGAGAGTGCACCTTTTCTATTGAATGTCTAAAGGATGATACATGATCTACAAAAATCCAAACTGGTTTAGTAATCCTTATAAAATTATGCAATCTTGACATTGCTTGAGTAGGTTGAGCTACATCCCTATCTGTTCTCATCACACCCTATAGTTTACATATAAGCGATGAAAAGTTTGATGGCGACCAGTTGTTGATGATACACTGTGAATCACACTATAGCACGATAATGAAAGTTCTGGTAAGTGAGGTGGTAGTGGGATCACGGGCAATTTTTCAGATAAGTAATAGTCCTTTTTTTAATTTCACTGACATTTGTACTCTGTTTATGCGTGCTTTCAGTTTAAAACAATTTATTGTGAACGGTGAGCGGTGAGCATTTTTCAAATATTAATAGCGTGATGGAGTCTTTCATAATTAGTATAATTTTCTACAATTGTGTGTTTACTTTAACAGACCTTTTATTACCGAGCGCATGCTTTGTCTGAAACAAATGTGTGCAAAGTTTTCCGAAACTGTAACATTTATCTAAGTGACGAGTTGAAAATTAAGTGACAAACAAGTACATAAATTTTGGCGGGGTTTTACCGAACGAAAGCTCGATCCATTCTTGCTAAAAATATAACATTAATATGACAGTTTCTAATACTTTTATAAATTTATTGCAATTTTGACTTGCTAAGAATGCTTCTGGGAAAGGTTTAGCACCTACATACGACCTCAGTAATATTTCATCTGATACATCTACGATTCCGTGCTAAAATAACTCGACTTACTAAAAATACAGACGAACATATAAATTTCGTGTGGGTGAAGGTTATTTTTATTATTTAAAGGTTTCGATAATGTCTGGACCACATGCATCCGTTTAACGTTATCTGAGTAAGATCTCATTGTTTTCGGTATCCATTCATTTTGTTTAAGGCACAGGAAATATTTTTGCGCCTTGTTATGTAAGAGGTTATAGAAAGTGAAGCTGTGATCCAGTTTGGGAAATATCTTAACGATTTTATGCTAATTTGTGTCACCTTTGAACTTCAGTCTTCATTAATGAATGGTTTATTTATAACAGGTAATCCTTTGTCTTTGTTCTGTGAGTCTGGCGCTTGAACATGAAGGAAGATATGTGCATGACGATTCAGGAAAGTATGTACCGAGTAATGAAGGGCAGTATGTTCCCGATTTTTCTGGACAGTACACTCATGATGGAACTGGAAATTATAAACACGATGGTAATCGATATAACGACGATGGAAGCGGAAGATATAAGGGACAATTTGACGGTAATTTTTTTATTATTAAAATACAAAAAAAAATTACCCAAAAAAATTCCTGCTTATGTTTTGTTAAAAATTCAGAAAAATTTGTTCAAGTGTTGGAAATTTTAAAGAAGAATAGAATGTGTATTTTAAGTAAAAAATCTTCTATTTTTTTCTTCATGACGTATAAAAAAAACTATCTCGAAAGAATTTATTAGTCAGTGATTTAATATGAAAATGTAATATTTTTCTGGTTTAAAACGGTAGCACAATATTAACAAATATAAGTCAACATAAATAATGATCCCACCTACGCAGACAACCAAAAACGAAATATTTAATCTGGTTACACACGAACATTATGTAGTTCAGACAAGATGTTGAGATGTATTAATCAAACCTCCTTAAACATTAATAACAAGGAAATAAAATAATAACACTTTTTGAAGATAGCTAATTTTGTACAGTGAGCAAAAACTATGATTGAAAATGATTAAAATCAAAATTTTTTGACCAACCAGTAAAAACTGCTATTTTTGTAAAATTCAAAAAGCCATAATGGCAGACTCAGTACAAAATGAAGCTACTATTTTGTGATCTTATATCCTATTTTTGTTCTTATTCTTTATACTTTGCACATCAGCACTAAAAATAACTAACAGGAACACCTCAATTTACAATCTTCCTCACATTGTTGAAATTCTTAGCAATTTGTGGATTTCTTCAGTGATTACTTTCAACTTCTAGGGACATTTACAATAACACGAAGCAATAAGAAACAAAAGTTTACAAATTTATTGATTTTATTAACACAAGAAGCAGAAAACACTTTAAATACTTGCGATATTTATTTTATTTGTTTACAATCTAATGTATTCTGAAACTGAAAAAACTTAACAATCACTTGGCATGGCTTAATTTTCTAAGAACTAGTTAAAGTGCGAATTTTTATCGAATGTGTTGTAATTTCTCTGAGTTCTAGTAAATTTTAAAATTACAGTTTTTCCTCATTTTTGAGAAAATAAGATAACAAATTACAAATTGACTTAAAAAATTCTAACTGCCTCACGTGATTTATTTTCCGTTACTTAATTGTGTAATTAATTAAAAGTTAATTATTCGATGATCATTTACACATAATTAGCATTAATTTGACTTAGAATACAACATTTATTCAGTTCAATTTTTACAAAATTATAATTCTGTTTTAACTAACTTCTGTGCCCTAAGCTAAAGAGTAGATTTTTTTATTGGGACTGCCAGTAGATTATTATGGAAAATTATGAAGCAAAATGTGAATATGTTCCTTCAGAAAATAAGAGAAGACAGATAAGAAAACTTATATAAAATGTATTATATAAATACTACTTTCCTTATTATTATTATTTTTTGTAATGTTTTCTTTTCTTTATTATAAAACTTATTTTAAAACACGAAGTATATCTTTTTTGTAAAATGAGAAAGTTATATTTATGCTCTCAAAATCTAGTAGATTTGGGTTTATGCATTTATTAAATTAAAATTTATTAGATAAAAGTGATAAATTTGGATGATATTAAAGATGTTTTGAAACTACCCATTTTTTAGTTAATTGTTACAAAAGATCGTGTTTTCTCTTTCACCCGTGGTCAATTAGGAAACTACGTTAACAAAAATTTTGGCATAATGTCAGCGCCGTCAACAAGGATAAGTGAAAGGAAGTCACTCTAACCGAATAAGCATATTTTATTGTTTTGGCAACTCCAAAATAGCGGAAAACAGAAACAATTACCTTGCGTGTATGAAAATATAAAATGTAAGGTAAATAATAAATCAATGATGAACAACAGGAAAACATTCCAAAAACATAAAGGTGGTCAAAATATAATGTGCAAATGTACAGATTTGGGCTAGTCTACAGTTTTATAAAACTCGATTTCCAAAGTGTAATATAATAAGAGACAGTTAACATAAATCCGAAATAATTTCATTTCAAAAAAAAAAGATAAACTGTCGGATAAATTTGATAAAATGTAATCTAGCTCGATCCGTAATATAAATAATTTTAAAATTACATTTAACGCAAAAATGTTGAGTTTCATGCTCTAAGTTGTTTTCCTGTTATTTAAAAAAATAAAATATTACCCGAGGGTATCAATATCCTTTATGTATTGTCAATCTTCTCCAATGTCAACATCAATTAAAGTATCTGAATCCTGAGGTCAAGAATTTTTAAATTATAAGCACTCATATTATTTTCTCCAACACGCACAAATTGATCGCGTGTATGTGTTCATACTATCAATAATTTTCCCATATAGCCCCAACATCAGAAAAATTTCATAACTAGATAATACCAAACCAAACCGTATCAACGAATTTGAATATTAGATTGAGGCAAAATTTTCTCTAAAGTGTATCTCCAGGCTAAATATTTTACATAAACAATATTGTTTTCATTCATCCGTTTAACGAACTTGTTAAGCCGAATTTTTACGTAATTTTTTTGTTAGACAAACAAATTTACATACAACGTTTTTGAAATTCAAAACAAATAGCAATAGTAAAAGCGAACTAAATTAATGACACTGTTATAATAAGTATGTAATTAAATTTATAACCATTGCGTATGAGGTTTTAGTAACAGCAATAACCCTCACAGCTTGAAAAAATAGTTACAAAAATACCAGTTGTGTCATATTTTTTTCATAATAAAAAGAAGCAACACCTTGATTTAGATTCATAAACCCAGCATGTACTCGTTCGTATCTTTTGTAATATTTACATAATTGTGTTAACTAGTCGATGACATGCCTAATACAGAAATCATTATTTTTGTACGTTTAGGACTAAATGGTAATCTGCTACCATCTGGTACGAAACACAGACCTGTTGTTCAACCGGTAGTAACAATTAAAACCACCCCCATCAAGCCTCCAACACCTGCCCCTGCACCTCGCATACCCTTGAAAACATACGAGAACTATCAAGAAGGAAAATGGAAAATCCTGCGACAACTAGGTGACATAGACACAGATGGCGGATATCACTGGGAGTAAGAGTTTTCTAAAGCGTGTACAACTTAATTGGATGTTTCTATATTTTCAGATACGAAACTGAGAACAAAATCATTGCTGAAGAGTCGGGGAAAGTTCACAATGAGGGAACTGATGCAGAGGCTATGCGGGCCAAAGGATTTTACCAGTATACGGGTCCTGATAATGTAGTTTATGCTGTCGAGTACACTGCTGATGAAAATGGTTTTAATGCTGTGGGAGATCATTTGCCAACGCCGCCCCCGGTTCCTGAGGATATTGCAAGGGCCTTGCAAGCGGACAGAGCGAATAATAAACTTTAGAAAATCGGCGATGACGAATACCTAACTGAGATTAGTAGAAATTAAAGTAAATTAAATTATATACGAAAAGGGGAAAGAAAGAAAAAAGCTTTTATTTTTGTTGGGACATGATTGGTCAGTTTTGTTTGTAAGGCATGCAATCCAATGTACATAATAAATTCATTGCTAGTTTTTCTTTTATGGCTTGTATTATTTCTTCTACAAATTATTGTAATAGTTGTGGGTAATACGAACTAAGTACATACTACTATGACAATTTTACTATGTAGATTATAGAATATAAATTCCAACTCATTTTCTGTAAAGCTGGTCAAAGCTTTAGAATTTTACATATATTTACATAAGTATACCAACGTAATAAAAAAAAAGTATACTAGATTAAAAGAACATTTTCTGTCCACAAGGATAAATTTTCTTTTTCGTTTTTTATGACAAGTGACCTTCTCCATTTGTGACACAAGGAATTTATTAAATTGTCACATTAAAACATGGCAATGAAATGCCGAAGATGTTACGACGACTTGCTACTCGCATATTGGATATTTTTAGCTAAACATATTTTATTTTTGTTTTTCGTTACAAACAAAATCTAGGTGAGAGAAATCTGAATAACCCAGTAAAAATTTAAAGTTCAATTTTATTTGACAAATAATAGTAGAAAAAATTGTGTGTGGTTACTAAATACAAAAAAATCCAGATGAAAATCGTCGGACGCTTTAAAGATTTAAAGACCATGAAAGAGAGGCAACATTTTCTTTAACTCTTAAAAAAAGCTTACGCAGATAAAATTTAAATAAAAATTTAGTGTTGCTTGTGATATGACTTTATAAAACAAATGTGTTCAAATCCACATTATATTTATCCGTAACTTGTGTCTGTTTTAATACTTAAAGGTAGTGTCTAGACTTCAAAATTTTGACAAATCATATTATTACGAATCCACTTTGTCGCTAAGTTTGGTCTCAGACTTTATAGTCGACTTTTTAATTGAGAGATAGAATTATGTCATGAGCTGCATAATTTTGTCCGCTCTTTTATGAAATAAAACTTAAATCGTTATTTTTCCACAAAATATTTTATTTTGAGATTTTCGGATCATACATATTGGAGTAATTAAATTACGGAATGTGTTGTAAAATATTTCATTACACTGATGTAGGTACTTTTTACTTTATATACCTTACTAGTGACGAAACATTCAATGAAAATGACATTACAGGAGCAGAGTTTCCACTAAAAAAGAAAAAATCTTGGGTACTCTAATTTAGTTTGTTAATTTCATTTTAATATGTTACTTTTATTAAAAGTCCCAAATATGGGTAACTTCTCCGAAACTGGTCGACTGAAATATAAAATCATATATTGAAATATTTTTTGAAAATCAGAAGACCTTCATCACCCTCCGTAATTTATAACAAATAGGTCAGAAAAGAATAAATAATTACTACAAAAACGCGAAAATATAATTTTTACTATTATAACGAATTCAGAATAGAGAGCTTTAATCAGTTATCATAATCAGTATGCAACTTTCTAGCTTCTCAGTCAAGAATGTTGCCTATTTAATTATATTTTTTGCACGAATCCGGGCATACGATCACTAATTCTGTGATCCCGGGCAACATGGGCGCCGGCAGGAGGGTGCAAGGGGGTGCACTTGCACCCCCCTGGCTTAGTATAAAATACACACTTTAATTTAAATCCAAATTGCAATCTTCTAGGAAGTGGATAATAGTTTTTGAAATAGCTTCCGCATTCAGTTCTAGCAGCGGGACATATCCTAAAAATTCTTCGCAAATTATTGGATTTTTATTGTCTTGATCACAACGTAAATACCGAACTCCAATCGATAATTGTTCTGTGCCACTAATATTAGCAGTCTCATCAGCCAACACCTAAACAACGGATGCCTGATTCACCTCTTCAATTATTTTGCCCTTCAGAACATCAGAACAAATTTCAATCAATTCATTTTGAATTTGATGCGATATATACAAAGAGTTTCTTGCTCCTGACTCTAAATGATTTTTTAAAATTTCATCCCCAGATTCAATTCGAAAATGGAGCAAATATACTATATCCTATAATGTATGGGTGCACCCCCCTGCAAATAATCCTGCCGGCGCCCATGCCGGGCACAGTATAGAAATAGGTCTTAGCATACTTTTAGTAAGTACCTTCACCTCTTGTTTTGTTATTTTAGCACAAATGTTTTTCATTTCTGTGGATAATAAACAAGAATATGATAAAATTTCCCGTTCAAAAAAAAAATATGTTCTTGACTGAGTTAAAAAAAAAGACACCACGATCACGTACTTTTTTTTTGCGGCCATAGAAAACTTGACCACTAACTAAGTTTTAGTTATTATTAAGACCCATCACTGACCCGGAAATGACCGGCATTCAGGCAACACTTCTATCATTACGGGTACTAAGACCAAGTAATGATATGCATTGATTAGATTAACAAAACAACTTTCGAGATTCTAGAATTACAGCATACAAATTAGTCTGCTATTATTCTCTAATCTCAGCCCATCCCAAAAATTTAGCGTAACTACCGATCATTTATCCGCGCATCACTTGGAAAGTGACCTACACTACTCCGACATACTGGTGCTAATCTAACCTGACTGACATGATCAGACTGTTCGAGAAACTTACGAACAATATGACATGTTCCTAACAAAACAGCTTTTTGAATTTTGACAATTATTGAATCATTCAAATGCAAAGACTTTAAATTCTCAACTAAGCTATTTGGGACTACACCTACATTAGAGATAACTAGGATAGGAGGGGTAGAATTGAAATTTTTAATAATTGTAGATACTTTGAAATCTTGGTGTGGTATGTTTGAATAATGTTGTTTGTGTTAGGAATAGCAATGTCAATGAGAATCGCTTCGTTCGTGTGTTTTTTGATAAGTATGATGTCTGGTCTGTTAGCTGTAATGTTTAAGTCTGTAAGTATTGTGCGATCCCAGTATAATTTGTATTTGTTATTTTCAAGGAACGGAGATGGAATGTAAGTGTAATAGGGTGCCGTATCTTCGATTAAGTTCATAAGTGTTGCTAATTCTTTGTGAATGATTTTGGCTGCGTTGTCGTGTCTAGCTTTGTAGTGAGTTTGTGCCAGGATGCTGCAGGAGGAGATTATGTGCTGGATCGTTTCAGGTTTTGCTTTGCAGAGGCGACAGCAGTCGTTTCTTATGTTCGAATCTTTGATGATGTATTTTCTGTAATTCTTGGTATTGATTACTTGGTCTTGAATAGCAAACACAAATCCTTCTGTTTCGCCATACAAACTTGATTTTTTTAACCAAATCAATGACATCTTCTTATTGACATGAGTTTCTTCTAAGTCTTTGTAGAATTTTCCATGTAGTGGTTTTTGTTTTAGCCCACTTATTATTTTGTCTATTGTGTGGGGGGTGTGGATTTCTTCGGTGTTCGATAGATTTAAGGGTGTGTGGTTCAAATCTGCTCTTGTGATGGTGAGAAACATTTCATTTCTTTCTGCTCGTTTCAAGAAATACTTCTTCAGATCTGAGATTTGTCTCTGATATAAGTTTTCTAGGTTCTGGAGACCCCTTCCTCAATTCTGTCTTGGTAATGAGAATCTTTCAATCGACGATTTTGGATGATGCTTTCTATACTGTGTGAAGATTTTCCTTGTTGGAATGTTTAAATTTTCAAGATCTGTTTTGGACCATTTAATGACTCCAAAAGAATATAGGTATTAGCAGTGGAACGCAGAATGTATTTACTGCTTTCATTAAATTTTTTCCATTTAACTGTGTCTTCAATATTAATTTTAATCTCTCTAGGTATTGATCTTTCAACTGTGTTTTCGTTTTGGTATGATTGATGTGGGAGGATTGACAGAAACCCAGATATTTGTATGTATCATTTCGTTCTTGGGCTTCGATTATTTCGTTATTCTGGGTCATATGTGATATTTGGTGTTGGACGCCTTTTCTGATTGCTTGGGTCTTACATTTCTCAATACCAAAACAAATACCAAATCACCGGAAAACTGTTCAGTCAGATTTAATAGGTTTGTTAACTGATTTTGTGTACTTGCATATATTTTTATGTCATCCATATACAGCAAGTGACTTATTCTGTTTTCTCTTTGTTTGTTAATTCTTATATTGAACCCATAATTACAGCTGTTCAGGATATCGGAGAGGGGATTTATTGCTAAGCAGAACCATAATGGGCTAAGAGAATCGTCTTGAAAAATTCCTCTTCGGATCATTATTGGATCTGACTGAATTGTTTGTTCATTTAAGGTTATTTGGAGGGTGGTCTTCCAACATTCAATGGAAAATTTGAGAAAAGTGCAGATTTTAGTATCAATTTTGTATAATTCCAGAATTTTGCATAGCCAGGAATGAGGGACAGAATCGTAAGCTTTCTTATAATCAATAAAAGCAATATATGTTTCGGTTTTCTTTTCTAGCTTGTTCACAGATGATGGAATCTATGATTAATTGCTCTTTGCAACCCAAGGATCCTTTAATACATCTACTCTCTATGTTTAACATTATTATTATTATTATTTAATATCATAATAGCAATTTGAGTTTACGCCCCTGATTTGAAACACGGGACAGTGACTTTGTCAAAATTATTTGATGTGATTATTTTTAGTTAAATCGTATTTTTTTTTAATTTGGAAGTGTACTGTGACCGCGACTATAATACCTAAAATAAGTTCAGAGGATTAGAAACGTCTGTTACCGACAGAGCAATAAAAAACACGACCAAAGACATCCACGGATTTTTTTGACAACTTGTCTTTAACAGAATCTTCGTCTTGTGAGATTACCATGAATTAAAAACTTTGAATTAAAAATGTAACCATCAAAGACGAACTTGCCAAAATCCATGACTGTCTTTAATCATGTTTTTTAGTGCTCTCGCTATAGAAATCTGCCCTCATATCGAAAATTAAGCAGAAGATTTCATATCAGCTATTAATGTTATATCCAACTAACAGTAATACACTCATTTTAAGTGCTGCTGAAATATCAGAATAGATTTTGTTTTATTATTTAAAAAGATATCTGCAAATAAGTATTTGTAATTCATTACACCTAATCTAGGAACGTTAAAGTTTAACATCTCTAACAATTCAAAGTTGTCTATGTAG